TCTCTCTCTCTCTCTCTCTCTCTCTCTCTCTGTAACTTGGGAAGGGAATGGGTGGATATAGGTGCTATGAAGTGGCAAATGAAGCAACAGGGAAGGGGCTTCAACTGGGGAGCAGGAAGGGAGGGCAATAAAGGAGAAGGAGGAAAAGGGGAAAAATAATGTTAAAGTTCTTTTGACAAGGTGTCAAGGAATCATACTATTTTATATTTATTTAAACTTATTCACAATGCATATAAGGACACACACACACACACACACACACACACACACACACACACACACACCTTAAAGGAAGTTAAGCTTCTTGGGCTAACAAAGCTCCCCATAGGAATCATATATTAATAAAAACACCAGCACCAGGCACAAGAAACTTTTGTAACGGTTGGTTAGGGTAGTCCAGGTGACTCCCAAAACAATATAGATTACCAATGCATCCCTTGGTTGCCCCTCAGGGGTTGAGGGTGGGCATCTGCTGCTGAAGACACCAAACACTTGAGATGATCTGGAGCTGGATCTGACCTGAAAGCCTCTTTTCTGCAGTCCAGCTTCTGTGGTCTCAGAAATACTATGCAAGCTGCCAAGGGAGGGAAGAAATTCAGCAGTCCCACGCAGCGGCAACATCTATTAACCATGACAACTCTCAGCATGGCAAGATATGCATAAAGTTGCAATAAGTGTCACTCACGTGCCACTGGTAACCAATTGCCATCTAAGGACTTAAGGCCCACTCAGCAGGAGGGAAATCATGCTTGGTACTGGAAGCTTAGCCAGCTTTCCGGGGATATTGAGGTCATGTTAGAAACATATTTACTACCACACTTTCCAAGACCAGCACAATTCCTTAATAATGCATTCTAAATCTTATCCCATAGGTAAGTGTAGCTACCACCCCTCAGCAAAGAAGCCTCCTTTTCATAGCAAATGGAGATCATCAAAGAAAACCACAACTGGACAGGATACACCAATCAATGCATATTGTGGGGAGCCCAGCCCCACATGACACATCTACATCACAGCTCCTGCGTCTGTGTCTCAGGGAGCATCACAGAGGAGGGGTGGAAGGTAAAAGCCGGAATGCCAGGAAGCCTGCCGTCCAGGAAGTCTCTTCTAGAACCGGCTACATAAACAAAACCATCACATCAGTATCAATGGATGTGCTCTCATGGAAGAGGGAAAATTTGATGAGGCTCCACCCCTAGAAAAAGAACTACAGACAAGCAATGACTGCTAAAAGAATTAGCCTCTCCCCTTACTGGTTGTCTGCTCCAGAGTGGTCAGCCTTGAAACCTTATACACACAACCAACAAAAACAGACTCAGCAGGTTGTATTTACATAAATATATATATTTATGCATACACATACATATATGTGTATGTAACTCATATATATGCATGTAATAATAATAAAGAAGAGGCTCTCAACTCGAGAGTGGGAGGGGACATGAGGGGTTTGAAGGAGGGCAGTTGGGAAAGGGAGAGGAGAAAGTGATGTAATTCTGCATAACTCACTGAACATGACAAAGTCAATCTAGGGCCCACCTAGAGCCTTCACTCTTAATGACTAGTGTTCATGGTACAATGTGAAGAGACCTTGGGATGCTCAGTCCTGAATGGGATGTGGCTATCAAATCCCTCTCCTCAGGGCTCAGAAAACTATGCAAAAGAGGAGACAGAAAGATTGTAAAAGCCAGTGAGGGTGGAGGACACCAGGGAAACAAGACTGTGTAGGCACAGCTGACCGACACACATATGAATTCACAGAGACTATGACAGCATACTCAGGTCCCAGCCCTAGGAGGGAAATTGGATAGTGCCCCCACCCCATCCCTAACCCAGAAGCAATCTCCAATTGATAACTGCCTGCCCCCACCCTACCCCCCAAAAAAAGAAAGGGAAAAAAAGAGGAAGAAAGGAAGAAAAAGAAAAAAACAGTTTTCTCCAAGGAAGTCTCATGGATGTACAAACTACACTTAAGTGCAGACCCCATGACCAGCAGGAGATGGTCAACACAAAACAAACTCAGTGGTATTTTTGGAGGATTTTTGCCCCATAATGCTTTGTCTGGACATTTTTTCCTACCTTGCTGGTCTTCTGCTTATTTATTATGGCTTCTGATTTTGTGTTTTTATGGAATTTTTTCTGTGTAACTCTGTGTGATCTTCGTGTGTAACTCTGCATCTGTATGTGTTTCTTGTACTCTATCCTTTTTTTCTGTTTTTTTTCCTATTTTTTCCTCTGTTTTCTAATGAGAGAGAGAGAGAGAGAGAAAGAAAAGGTATGTATTTTTGTGGGTGGGGAGGTAGGGAGGATCTGGGAAAGACGCAGGAGGTAAACACTCTGTCAAGGCAGCCACGGTGGAGAATCTTACTCCTGAGCACTGCGTGGGAGAAATCCCTTCCTCCCACCCACTCCTCATCTATAAACTAAGATCTTCTCATCATCTTCCATGGTTGCCATGATGGACAGGCCATTGTGTCCCCAGAGCTCAGTTCTGACCAATTGGAGCCTGTCTGGGGCTGTACCAATGTGGCCCATGTGTGCCCACAGACATCTGGCCCTGGTTCTGGATTCTTCTTCCTAAGAAGATCATGCATACACTGCCATGAACCAGAGAACAAGTAAACTGTTTGGGAGGTGCCAGGAAACAATCGTGCCTGTAACTATACATCTAAGGAAGGGAGTTTGGAGGGAGGAAGCATGAGACTATCCATCTTAGTGCTGTCCCTTATGAAGATGCGATCTTGTGTTCCAGAGAGCTGAAATGGGATGTGTGGGAGGAAGTGATTTGTAGCTAAGAGTCCCCAATCATTTCTTCCCATCTCAGGAGCACTTCCTGCTTGCAAACTTTCCATCTCAACTGTATTCAATTAAGAGTCAACCAATCTTTCAGAGGCCTTTAGGTGGAGAAAACTTAACTATAATTACATGATTTTACATGGTCACACACAGAAAAATTCTCCTTTGGCTGATTTTAATTATGTGGAAACTTTGACTTTCCATCTAGACATATGGACAAGTTTCTTCATTTGTCCTTCCCTGGTTATTTTAAAATTGAGCTGTTTTTTGGAGGTTAATGAATACATTTTGAGCTGGCTAAAAGTCGGGATCACCCCTACCCTCCTCCAGGCTTCTGCTACCCAGCTTTGAGTGCAGGCTCAAGGTGAGGCAGCCGTACAGAGAGAAGCTAGACAAGGCTCCAGCCCAGATTCTGAGAGAACCATGCTGTGATCTAGGCCTTTGGTGTCCTTGTTTTTATTTGTTATCCTGTGGATCATAGCACAGTGCCCAGGCAGGATGAGAGGGGCTCTGGTGTGCTCGGGATGCTTACAGACCCACAGAAAGGTGACAGCATGCTCTGGGGAGGACTCTGAAATGCAGCTGCCTGGTGTCACTTTCTCTGGAGAAGTGGGAGGGGAGAAAGAGAGGACAGGTAGAGGCAGGTACTCGTTGTTTTTCTGTCTGAGGAGACAAAACAGATCTCTTGTATGTGAAACAACCACCCACTCTAGGTACACATGATGAAATTACTATCAACATTAATACACCAGTTCTGATCTTTACAATTAAGTGAAGTTCATTTAAAGTCACCGAGCATGTACCTGGGACTAGACCCCATGCCTAGCATAGTGTAGGATTGTAGGTAGTTACTGATGTTTAGATAGAGTTAGAATACAGAGAAATATAACATAAGTTTGTTCATTTCGGGTGATGACTGGGGATGGGTGGGTCATGGAAAAAAAAAGGAATCATGTTCTGCAGGGATGTGGCAGGGGAGATTGTGTATTGTTTTAGGGTTTTCTGTATCTAGACCTTGCCATATAATATATATTTATGTAGGCTTGTGCTCTCCAGTCACCTGCAGGGATGGATGCTGTGCCTTTCCCTTCTCCTTCCCAGCAAAGCTCCCTTGGTCAGTGGTCCAGAAGGAAACTTACCCGACATCTCATAGTTAAGGAATGCTAATCTTGTTACTATGTATTGCCTCTAGTCATGTGCTTCTTGCCAGAAAACGCATGTGGCTCTGATCATGCCATACCACCAGTCGCCAGCTGGTGGTGCTAGAGGCACCTCTGCTATCGGAGTAGAGGAGGGCTGGGGCTACTTATCTGCTCAGTTTTAAGCCCGTTTAAGCTATGCAAAGTGACCCCGAGACTGACAACTGATGCTCTATCTGCATGTGTCTAATGTGGCCAAATTTTTCTAGTTTGAAATTTAATGGAGGAAGCATCAATAGATATAACCCACAAGAATAAAATCTCGAGGTCCTCAACTATTTTAGTAGTGTAAAAGTATTTCTTAGACCAGTCAGAGAGCTGCGGCGGAGATCACTCCTCCTGCCAGAGTGGGCTTTATGCCCACAGTTCTGGCCCCAGAATTGCATTCCATGGCCTTGCATGGACTTGCAGGACGGACTTGCAGGGCCTGTTTTATGCTCATCCCAGCAGGCAGCCCCACCTCCCCACCACCCTCGTATGGCCAGGTGCCTATCAAAGAGGTGGATCTGGGAGGCAGCACCCCAGGCGTTGAGGATGGGAGTCCAGAGGGGAGAAGGAGGCTCTATGGTTTGAGCAGGGTCCCCACCTCACCCTCATGCTGCCCCTGATTTCTTCCAGGCTCATTCAGTGGATTTTCCACTTTCTTCCTCCTCTCAGGCCCTTTTGTCCCCCTGTGACTTTCCTGTGTTCTCTGTAAGAAAGCAGAGACATGGCCACCCAGGAACACACACACACACACACACACACACACACACACACACACACACATATGTATATATACATACATACATATATATATTCTGACATAACGTAAGTCAGAGTCTGGAGGAGGGGTACATTTTGTTTGGGATTGTGAGATTATAAGAGAGTAAGTAGAAACAGAAGATCTTGCTGCCTTCACTAAAGAATGTGCAATTGTGATGCAAAGAACTATTGAAAAAGAAACTTTCCCCTTATTTAAGTTTCTCCCCTCTCCTTCATATTTGCTTCTGGAAACTTCCAAAGTGTCCAACTCCTTGGAGGCAGAGCCGGTTCTACATTCTTGTAGTGACTTCAAATAACCACAGGGAGGCACTGTGGTAGAAGAAGCTGTAACTGGAAATACTGGACATTTTGGACCACAGGAGGTAAGTCCTTTTATCCTGGGCGTAGCAGTGGACAGGAAGTCAAAGGAGGTTTCCCTGCCATTTCCTTATCCCAGTTCTTGAAACCACCCGCCAAACTCCCCCTTTCCCCGAAACTCCAGCCTTACATGTCTTTGGCGGATCAGAGCGTTTACTTTTCCCTTGAGCTGATTCTGTGTGTACAGGTGATGGATAGAGCAGAGGGTTTTGTGGATGTGAAGAAGTAAGAAGGAGGGGGTTTCTAGGCAGGACTAATGGAATTGCAGCTTTTCCTAGGGCTTATAAGGCTGCACTGTATTTTGAGCAGGTATCTGCGCCATCCCACTTTGCACAAAGTAAGCGCCACACACAGCTTCTTTAGCCCTGATGCACGGAGTCAAGTGGAAGTAGGATTGTTTATCCAGAGAGCACTGAGAACCCCTACTAATAGGTCAGATCCTGCGAGTGGGAAAGGAGGAAGTGACAGCAGAGACCCCACCTGGGATCAAGGAAAGGTCAAGATTTAAAAAGAGGCAGATGCGACTGACAGGCAGAGCAGAGGGACCACACAGCAGGCACTGATTAGCGTACCACACTAGGCACCTTGGGGGGTGAGTGAGAGGAGAGCTTCAGGAACACAGTATGTGGATCCTCCAGGAGCCGGCCTGATCCTGACCCGATCAGTCCCTCCACCGGCTTCACACCACTGTGCTCTAAACTGCAGTCCATGAACTGACATTGTACCCCTTCTACATTCTTCAGGAGGGTTTGACACAAAAGACCTCCCATCACAGCCTGTGCATCTAAGCAGAAGAGGAGAACCTTGTTTGGTCACTAACTTTTTCTTGTCCATCAGGTTTTTTTTCATCCTTGGGAGTCCTTTCCCACATGCAGCCCCATACATGTGGAGTCCTGGATGTCACCTCTTACCACCTGGTAGACTATTGTGGGAAGGTCTGTAGTAAGCGGGTCAAGGAGCAGATCATATAGACTCTAAGTCCTCAAGGAATCTAACCTCAAATTTTAACAAAGACTGATTTTCTAACAAAAATGAAATAAGGTTCATTATATTAAAAACAAGGAAAATCTGAGAGAGACTTGGGGTAAAAGAAGAGAGTCAGAGTGTCAGAGAAAGAAAAGGAGGTCTTCATGTCCTGCCATGCCTAGACTCCCCAGAGACATTAGCCAGGCACCCCCGGTCAATGGGCCTCGTCCCCACAAACTCCAACTGCTGATACTCTGGGAGTGGATCAAGAGGGCTGAGAGATGGTGTGAGCTAAGGAAGATCTGATGTAACCCAGTCTCGCCATAGGAAGACCTGTGGAAACACATTCTTTTCTTGCTGTCACCCAAGCGCGTTCTGAAATTTTATCTTTTGTTATGCTTTAAAATGGCTTCTTCAGGTGACTCTAATCCTTCCTGAGCCGGGGACACATTTACTGGCGGGAGGTGCAAGATGAAGTGGGAAAAAGGATTAAAAGCCCAGGAAATGTAATCACCTTTAACCACCCACACCCAGCATCCAGCCTTGCCTCGGTGTCAGGGACACACAAGGACTTACTGCTTTCTCTATACCTGGTGGCACAGGGTGGCTTGAGGGGCACAGCAGCCCCCTCTTCAGAGCCATGGGCCGGGTTTCCCCATCCTTTGCTCCTTTACTTGAAAGCCTAAGAAATACTAGTCCTTCATCAGTGACCAAACTAGAATTTTCCATGCAAAGAACAAGCTTGACGTCTGTGCTCAGAAGAACCGGGCTGTCCATAGCTCAGGAAATGGCCAGTGTTTCCTCGTCTGTCTGAGTTCAGAGCAAAGGGGCGCAGGCTAGACCTTTCAGTTACCAAGGAGCAGTTTTGTGATTGAGGAGGCCCCTCCTGTCTGACTGAGGAGGCCCCTCTTGTCTGAAGTGATGGGCTGTTGGCTTCTAATCAGATTTCCCCATGGATGGTAGGGGAATAAGGAGGGTTTGATGTGATAAAGACTGACTGGATGGGTAGATAGCAAGGCTAAAATATCTACTGCTAAAAGGACACCAGAAATTTAACGACAACATTTAAACATTTATTGGGAGCCCTTGAACGATGTCCTTAAGATCTCTCTTACTGTCATCAGTGTGTACAAGATGGGAAGTAGAGTCCAGAGAGGTTAGTTCAGATCAGTGGCTTCAGATTCAGACCCCCCACCGCACCCATCGCTTGTCCATCCTTCTTGTGCCTCATTCTTCTCAGTATCTGTTCTTTAGATGCTCTGAAGCCTGTGGGCTCAATGACAGAACACTATTGTCTTTCTCTGCCCAGCATAATGGGATTCACCTTTTTGGAGTATGAGCTCACAAACAAATGGAAATATTTATGTTGTACTATGAAATCTGAGAATGAGAAAAGAGAAGGCAGACGACTTAGAAATGTTTCTGCTAAGGACAGGCTCCGCTGGCCTGGGTGCCCGAAGCCAGTTGGCCTCCATAGGAGAATCATCTGGAGACTCATTTTGCTTGGTCTCCACCTTTCAGAGGAGATCCTGCTCGGAGGGATCCAAGGGAGGGAGAGCAATGCACACTGGGATAGGAGCTCGGCTTGTAGTTTCTATTTATTCGTGAGTGTTCGACCCCTTTAATAACACAAAGTGATCTTATCTGGGCTTTAAGTCTTCTCATCACGTATGGAGGACTAAATCTTTCCTAGCACCGTCCCTTCAGTTTCTTCTGATTTTCCAACTGGTTTCATGGGAACAGGTGCTTTCATTCTCTTAACCTCCAGTGATGTTGTCCTTCCACTCCATACCCTACCTTGGAGGTTTATCTATGTTGGGCTTGATCCTAGGGTCAGTGCTTTTCAAGAATACAAGGGTCAGGATTAGGTAACTATCAAAGGAGGGCCACTGCCTGATACGATTATACCTAGAAGTTGGTCATTGTCCCCTTAGATACTACTGCAGTGAGATATTGACGAGGCTGGTCCTACAGCTGAGTGGTGGTGGCAGAATGGCAGATGCTGGAACTGACAGAATATGTCTCACACTGAAACTAACATGCTCAAATTTTGATCCATAAGCGGATGCTATTTTCCCCGAGAGCCTTTGGCATGTGGTGAGGTCATGGGAGTAGAGCTCTTGTGAGTAGGATTAATGCCTAAATAATAGTCAAGACTACACACTCGGATTATTTTGTTTACTGACACAGTGCCTTAACATTCGCCTTTCTTATTGGGAGATATTGAGGTCTTATGAGTCACATTGTGTTCTGGTAGACCAAATGGGCTTTTCTCAGTTTAATGAAAGAATTCCTTTAGAGGGTAACACCAATTCTAGAGGACCGTCTTTGTAAGATAAAATCTTCAACTATGACATCTAAGGCCATGCCTTTCACTCTTGAGAACTTTACCAGACACCAATTCGACAGGAATTAAGACAACATGGTGTTCGTGTAAAGACTGGCACTCAAGTTCATACACCAGAATATCGGTTCTAGGGACAGACTCACACCATTATGCTCTTTGATTTGTGACAAGGGTGCCTTGGTGAAGTAGTGACAGGGAGTGGATTTTGTTCAATAAGTAATTCTTAGGTTGGCTGGCTGCTCAGACATATTTTTCATGTCTGGGTTGTAGGACAGGCTTTTGAATGCATTTGGTCATTTGACTCAGGGAGGACAGGACACTTTATATTTCACTTGAATTATGAGTCTCCTCTGACAAGGGATCGCAGGGAAACAAGACAGAAACAAGGAGACAAGTGAGATAACTTTTGTGGTTGTTCAGGTGAGTGAGAGACGGAGGCTCCATTATTGTAAGAACATTGGAAATAAAGTGGTGAGAAGGGATGATGTTCTCAAGGCAGTACTCAGGACTTGGGGAGAAATTGTGTGGAGGAGAGACTAACAAAGATGAATGCTAAGATTTTAAAATTATAACAATGGTAACTATTATTACTATTTTCATTACTTAAGAAATTAATTTGGCAGACGAAGGCTATCACTGCCTTCAGTGTTGTCCACACAAATAAGTTACCTGTGCTCCCACTGAATACCTTCCCTCCCATTCTAAATTCAGTGGACCTCACACAAAAGAAAGGTGTGAACATAGGCGGGGGACTTACTAAGATGGATGCCAGTAGGAACTGGACAAGGTAAAAATGACTGAAGTATAAATGTATGAAACTGTCAATGAAAATGGGGGGGGGAATCTCATTATTTGGTTTGCAGCCTGAGTATTTCTATACACAGGGAGACATTGTTGTAGAAATACTCTGTAGAAATACACACTGTACATATTAACAGTGGAGATAAAACATAAATGATAGATAACATCATTACAGGAAAGGATAGTGAGTAGCTATAAACAACTTCATAACAATAAATCCTACAACTTATGAAAGCACAAATATCTTGAAAACACAATTAGCAAAAATGAACACCCAGTTAGATAACCCTGAGATGTTCTTTCACTATGATCACTAGCAATATTCCCTCTTTGTTTAAACAAACTAATTTACATGTTTCTGTGGAGGCAAATATAATTAAAGTATGGAGTAAATTGATTTGAAGTAAGGGAGAAAACTCTGGATAATCTGAGTTGGTCTGAGTCAATCAGTTGGTAGGCTTTAAGAGCAGAAGTGAAGCCTCTTGGGAGAAGACATTCCGGGTGGGATGGTAGCTTTAACCACACATTTCAGCCTGCCCTCCTGCTCTCCTGCCTTATGGCTTTCAGATTTGCCCACTCTGCACCCAAAGTCCCATAAATCATGCCTTTGCAGTATATCTCTGAATGCACACTTCCTACTTAAAATCAGGAGGCTTTTGTTTGTAGTTCAAAGCTTCTCCACATGGAAAGACTCAGGTTTAGATGCCTTAATTGGTGAATTACATAAAACACTTAAGAAATAATTTTAATTAATTGAAATTAATTAACAAATAACCTCTTCTAGAGAACAGAGGAGTGGGAAAAGTAAGGGGGTGATCAGAGGAAGTTGCAGCAGGAGGGCAACTTAAAGCTGCCATCGAGGATGAAAGTCTAGGACAGTAGAGTAGCCCTCCAAGTTCCACACTGCCCACCTGTGATTCTCTGGCAGTGCTGGATCTTCCCTTCTTCTTGACTCCACTGTACAAACCCATGCAGCACCTTTAGAGAGGATCTCAGATGTCCCGGGAACTGTTAGATAGTGAGCATGTCCACTGTTGAGTAGATGTAAGGACAGCAAACACTAGCCATCATTTCCCCAAGCATAGCAGGAAGCTTTCTTTTTCTTTTCCTTAAAAAAATTCTATTTAGTTATATATTTGGACAGAATAGTACATGATGACCTCAAAATTGCAGTTCTTCTGCCTCAGTTCTTGAGAGGTAGAATTACAGGCAGAGGCCACCATGCTTGTTAATGAGAGAGCCACTCAGGGAAGGAAATCAGGTAGGATAATCCCATCACATCTGTGAAAGGTCATTCTAGCTGCTGTGAGTGACTTACAGGACATTGAGAATCAGTCTTCTCCAGGAATAAGCCCCCAGATAGGTTATGCAAGTAGTCAGCCCCAAAGTCATATACATATGAACAACACTAAATGGACCCAGCAGGTTGCATTTACACACACACACACACACACACACACACACACACACACACACACACACACACACACGCTTTTAGATAATTAAAGAAGAGGTCATGAATGTGAGTAGGAGTAGAGACTAGGGAGAGGGGAGAGTGGAAATGATGTGAAGATAGTACTTGTGTGAAATTCTGAAAAATAAAATGAAAGTTAAAAAAATTAAGAAGTTTTCTTTTTTTGAGACAGGGTCTCACTATGTAGCCCTGGTTGGCTTGGAACTTGCTGTGTAGATCAGGTGGCCTGGAACTCATTCAGATCTGTCCACCTCTGCCTCCGAAGTGTCGAGATTAGAAGGAGTGTGACACCAAACCCAGCCTCTTAGAATCAGTCCAGATGAGAAACAATGGAACCTGAATCAGCGTAGCATGTGAGAAACAGAAAAAGTTAGTGGAACCCGGGGGAAGAGAGAGTTAGAAGTGTTTACTTCACAGTATTCGCTCTGATCGTTCTAATAATTCTCCTGGTCTAATACAGCAATATCCCAGCAGTCCAAATCATGGCAAACCTAGTAAGTGTAGTTAGAGCTTTCAGGCTCCAGAGTGCAGTCTACTACCTGAGATGGTCATTCCTCTTTCTCCTCGCCCTCCTATTAATAGGCTTTGCTTCAACTTGCTTGGCTTTAAAAATCAATGAAAAGTTGTGCTTATGGGAGAATGTATAATTTTTCCTTTTTTCCCAGTATCCTTTGAACATCTCACCACACCCAGACTGTCTTAGAGACTTCTGTATCCCACAGTAGAACCAGAAAAGAAGCCCCATAAGTACTGACTACCTAGGACAAAGCACTTGACTCGGGTATCTCTTTCAGAGAGGGGCAGTCGGGAAAGTCTTCCTGAAGGGTGTGTTTTCCTGGCAGGGGAGTGGCTCTCTTTGGCCCCTGGCTGAGGATGAAAAGGTGTGCTCTGGACAAAGAGGCGGCAGCAGCGGAGCAGGGATGCTGGCAGCAGCTTCCGTCCTGGGCCAGTTCTGTGGTGTGGTCGTGGACAGGGTTCTTTGATACTTAGCTTCAAGCTTTGTTCTTCAGGCCTCCTGGAAGTTCCATAATCCTCCCCAAGGCCTTTTGACAAGCCCATTTTAATCATCCAGAGTAAGCTTCCAAGTGACCCAACACTAGCTGTTATGAAATAGTCTCAAGCTGTGATTCACTGATCCTGGGGTCTTTGGCAAAGTGAAGAGGACAATGAGATCTGAATAAAGCCTTTGTTCACCTTGACTTTTATATAGAGTATGGGGTATATCAAACGTTCATCACAGACTAGAAGACATGTACAACCCTTTACCATTCTGAAGGATCTGGGTCACTGGGGCTTCTCACAGGTTGATTTCTGAGTTCATCTATAAAAAAATTAAATTAAACTGTTAAAAGGAAAATGCTGCCTCCGGCCTACAGAGTATGTCTTTCCTGAATCATTCTTTTTTTTTCTTTTTTTTTTTTTTCGGTTTTTCGAGACAGGGTTTCTCTGTGTAGCTTTGCGCCTTTCCTGGAACTCACTT